CTTCGTACTTCAGTACAGCTAGATTATTACACCTTTCAGTATATCTAAAGCTAGATCGCGTAGAGTACTATAAAATGATTGACTATGTCAACTTCAAGTTTATTGAGACTATGATTTCGCTTGTTTTTTGTTGTATGCCACGAAGATACTGGCTAGACATGGTTATTTATACGAAACAGAGGACTGGACAGTGATGATCATTTAAGCAGTCTAAGGAAATGCTTATATTGGTACGTGAATTGATAAAAGGATCTAGGAAGTTACTAGTAATGAAAATATTGTCTTGGATAACTTCTTGTGAATCAGTAGCTTTTTTGGAATGAAATAGGGATATGGACCACTTACTTTAAAATGTGGCATGAAACTACATTATTTAGTGAATGATGCTTAAACCAGAAGAAGTATAATGCTTGGAAAAAGATAAGAGAAGTAAGTATACTCTATAGTGTACACCAATGAATAGCACTCACTTTTGAAAGTTTAGCATGTCAAAATTATTGCGTTTAACAGTAACAAATGCATTCTAAATTATGTTGAGCTAATTTCTCCACTGTAAAGACAGGAATACTACTAAACATCATAAAATCACAAGGATGGGGATATTTAAATATATAAGAGCAAGTATGTGGAATTTACATTTTTGGTATTAAACTAGTTAAATATAAAATACAGACTTTTGTAGGTGATTATATCATGTGCATGTCCAAATGCATAAGCAATGAGGGGCGAGCCTTTTATTGCTCCCACTGGTGGCGGGCGGGCGAAGGGTCCAAAAGACATGTAGCCGGGTGCAAGTAAAAAAAAATAAAATAAAGAGTTCCATTTTCCTTCTTGTTCATCAATCGGAAATCTTCACAACCAGGCCATCCTGCCGAGCTTTGATCTCACTAAGTTCTGCTGCCTACAGATTGCTTGGACAGGACAGAAGAGGAGTACTCGTGTGTACACAAAGCTTCAAAATTTTATCAAAGAAGCTTTTGCTCCCTTCTCCAAAATAAGGACTAGTGATTGTTTCTATGTTTGATAATAGTTGACTTGGTGAAGTTTGCTATTCTTTCCCTCCCATTCAATGTAAAAGCACCACTTAATAATGAATTAAATTGTGCCAATGTTTCTTCTGTCTATTTCTGTTTATTTTAGGCCAATGACCACAACGCTTTACGAGTAATATTACCATAAGTCCCCTCTTAGCAGAGTGTGGTTGATATGTAGTTACTTCACATCTAATATTATTCAGATGGTACAAGATGAAACTATTGTTTACAGGCTTTCATAGGTTACTCAAGTATTATTTCGTAATGATTAGCAGTGGTGTTCGGAGAGTTTTCTTGAAAGAGAATGTTGTGGTTACTTTTGTGAGGAGTAGAAACTCTGCATCGAATTTCTTGCATTTGCCAATATCTTGAAATTCCAATTAGAGGACAAGTGTCTGTATGTAACATAGGATGGTCTTGAACTTCATGCTGAAAAGTGAATTTTAGGCATAATTTAGAGCATGCCCTATCTTGCATCCGGCACTTCTGCTATTGTAAGCTAGCTCCAATTCACAGCCAATGTCAATATGAAATTCTATGTCATGGAAACTTTTTCATGGCACTTAAAATGTTCAATGTACTATTTTAATTTATGTTTAGTGTATGAGATATGATTGGATTGGAGGATTTCTGATTAGATACAACATGATGAGTATGTTCGGTTGCAGTATTAGTGAGGATTGGTTGTATAATCAACAAGATTTTAACTTCTTTTTCTTTCTTTATAATGTCCAATGCTATTCAATCCTCTCTATAAAAAATGTACTACAATTGTTTATTATATAGTTCTTTTATTAGTTGTCCTTTCATAATTGTGTTTAATCAATACAACTACCTAGGGAAGATTTTAAATGTCTATTTCCTTTTGCAAACGAACTATGTTTGAGCTCCTGTTGTTTTTGCAAGTTTCCAACCTAGTTTTTTAGTCACTACTTTTTCATGGTTATTGAGAAATCTGTTTTAATTCTACCAGGTAACCGTTTAGCCAGTTTCTAAGGAGCTCTTGGATATTTTCTGTGGTGCCTATATAATCATTTAAACTTGAGATTCAAAAAGATTGAATGAGTCATGGAACAATCCAATGTGTTTGTGTAAATCCCAAATTGGCCAATTTGCTTTCTTAGAAGAGGATATTAGCAGAAAATAATGTCAAATGTTGTAAGCCTGATACTGGAGAAAGGGTAGACAATATCTTTGGTCTATTTTAGAGTAGACTATAGCTCATGTCAGCTCGATTAGACTTAGCTTGTGGTTTTTTTTTATGAGTTGAGCTTAACTAATGATGGTTGAGTAGATAAACTTTGCTAGTTTAGCTGCTCAGGTATACAATTTCTAATTATTAGACTTAATTGAAGAAATTTTACAACATAATAACTTTTTAAGCTCTTTTACGTCTGAATGTTTTTTTCTACATTTTCACAGTAAACTAGATTTTATCTACTTCTCCAAATATAATGTAAATATAATTAGATTAGAGTGTAATATGTTTAGGTCCCAAATTGGAGCTTGACTTTGACCTTGGTTTGAGCCCGGCTTGGATTGGACTGAGTAAGTTTATTGATCAGCTCGAGCTTAAGCTCAAACTTGCTAGCTCGAGCTTAAGCTCAAACTTGCTAGCTCGAGCTTAAGCTCAAACTTGCTAGCTCGAGCTTAAGCTCAAACTTGCTAGCTCGAGCTTAAGCTCAAACTTGCTAGCTCGAGCTTAAGCTCAAACTTGCTAGCTCGAGCTTAAGCTCAAACTTGCTAAAGTTGACCTAGCTTGACTTGTTTTTAGCTCTGTTATTCCTTAATCTTAAGGACATCAGAAATTCTGGATTATAGGATATTTGGACATAGAAAACATGCCACAGGGGACAGATAATATGCCGTCAACATTCTCCAAAGAATTATTTTTATCATATTGATACTGTTTTAAGTCCCGAACTTATATTTTGCTACCTAGATTGATTTATATTATAAATGAGATGTTAAAACTTTTTGAATTTGTCAGTAAAGGTCACCAGCAACCAGTTGCATGTAGAAATGTCTAACAGCTATTTCTGTCCTTCGCGTTTAATCACAAGGATGGGGATATTTAAATATATAAGAGCAAGTATGTGGAATTTACATTTTTGGTATTAAACTAGTTAAATATAAAATACAGACTTTTGTAGGTGATTATATCATGTGCATGTCCAAATGCATAAGCAATGAGGGGCGAGCCTTTTATTGCTCCCACTGGTGGCGGGCGGGCGAAGGGTCCAAAAGACATGTAGCCGGGTGCAAGTAAAAAAAAATAAAATAAAGAGTTCCATTTTCCTTCTTGTTCATCAATCGGAAATCTTCACAACCAGGCCATCCTGCCGAGCTTTGATCTCACTAAGTTCTGCTGCCTACAGATTGCTTGGACAGGACAGAAGAGGAGTACTCGTGTGTACACAAAGCTTCAAAATTTTATCAAAGAAGCTTTTGCTCCCTTCTCCAAAATAAGGACTAGTGATTGTTTCTATGTTTGATAATAGTTGACTTGGTGAAGTTTGCTATTCTTTCCCTCCCATTCAATGTAAAAGCACCACTTAATAATGAATTAAATTGTGCCAATGTTTCTTCTGTCTATTTCTGTTTATTTTAGGCCAATGACCACAACGCTTTACGAGTAATATTACCATAAGTCCCCTCTTAGCAGAGTGTGGTTGATATGTAGTTACTTCACATCTAATATTATTCAGATGGTACAAGATGAAACTATTGTTCATAGGTTACTCAAGTATTATTTCGTAATGATTAGCAGTGGTGTTCGGAGAGTTTTCTTGAAAGAGAATGTTGTGGTTACTTTTGTGAGGAGTAGAAATTATGCATCGAATTTCTTGCATTTGCCAATATCTTGAAATTCCAATTAGAGGACAAGTGTCTGTATGTAACATAGGATGGTCATGAACTTCATGCTGAAAAGTGAATTTTAGGCATAATTTAGAGCATGCCCTATCTTGCATCCGGCACTTCTGCTATTGTAAGCTAGCTCCAATTCACAGCCAATGTCAATATGAAATTCTATGTCATGGAAACTTTTTCATGGCACTTAAAATGTTCAATGTACTATTTTAATTTATGTTTGGTGTATGAGATATGATTGGATTGGAGGATTTCTGATTAGATACAACATGATGAGTATGTTCGGTTGCAGTATTAGTGAGGATTGGTTGTATAATCAACAAGATTTTAACTTCTTTTTCTTTCTTTATAATGTCCAATGCTATTCAATCCTCTCTACAAAAAATGTACTACAATTGTTTATTATATAGTTCTTTTATTAGTTGTCCTTTCATAATTGTGTTTAATCAATACAACTACCTAGGGAAGATTTTAAATGTCTATTTCCTTTTGCAAACGAACTATGTTTGAGCTCCTGTTGTTTTTGCAAGTTTCCAACCTAGTTTTTTAGTCACTACTTTTTCATGGTTATTGAGAAATCTGTTTTAATTCTACCAGGTAACCGTTTAGCCAGTTTCTAAGGAGCTCTTGGATATTTTCTGTGGTGCCTATATAATCATTTAAACTTGAGATTCAAAAAGATTGAATGAGTCATGGAACAATCCAATGTGTTTGTGTAAATCCCAAATTGGCCAATTTGCTTTCTTAGAAGAGGATATTAGCAGAAAATAATGTCAAATGTTGTAAGCCTGATACTGGAGAAAGGGTAGACAATATCTTTGGTCTATTTTAGAGTAGACTATAGCTCATGTCAGCTCGATTAGACTTAGCTTGTGGTTTTTTTTTATGAGTTGAGCTTAACTAATGATGGTTGAGTAGATAAACTTTGCTAGTTTAGCTGCTCAGGTGTACAATTTCTAATTATCAGACTTAATTGAAGAAATTTTACAACATAATAACTTTTTAAGCTCTTTTACGTCTGAATGTTTTTTCTACATTTTCACAGTAAACTAGATTTTATCTACTTCTCCAAATATAATTAGATTAGAGTGTGATATGTTTAGGTCCCAAATTGGAGCTTGACTTTGACCTTGGTTTGAGCCCGGCTTGGATTGGACTGAGTAAGTTTATTGATCAGCTCGAGCTTAAGCTCAAACTTGCTAGCTCGAGCTTAAGCTCAAACTTGCTAAAGTTGACCTAGCTTGACTTGTTTTTAGCTCTGTTATTCCTTAATCTTAAGGACATCAGAAATTCTGGATTATAGGATATTTGGACATAGAAAACATGCCACAGGGGACAGATAATATGCCGTCAACATTCTCCAAAGAATTATTTTTATCATATTGATACTGTTTTAAGTCCCGAACTTATATTTTGCTACCTAGATTGATTTATATTATAAATGAGATGTTAAAACTTTTTGAATTTGTCAGTAAAGGTCACCAGCAACCAGTTGCATGTAGAAATGTCTAACAGCTATTTCTGTCCTTCGCGTTTTTAAGGTGGAAGCAAGTGTGCATCTTGCGATTGAGAGTTGGAACAGGAAGCAAGAACCTTTCCTTTACACAGAGGAAAGTGAAAGTTTCTTATAATCGAAATGATTGCAATGTGAAGCTGCAGTTTTCTTCATACAGTAGTTCATATCGGTTGGTCGAGTTCTGAAACCAACCATCATGTGCCCTCAGGTTCTTAATATTTTGGAGTTTCTACAGCATGTTTCTGGGTTAAAACAAGATTAGTTGTGTTATTAAGTTGCACTCTGTACATACGGTTTTGAGATATGTTTTTCCTGTACTTTGTTTGTTAGTTTGTATGTGTGTTTAAGATATCTATTTTCTTTCTATGTGGACTCAACAAGACTGAATTGCATATGCTTCTTCTGGGTTTCTGCTCATTCTTTTCTTGTTTGGAGTTAGGGCCGGAAAAATATAAAGAGTGACGAGGTTGAAGATCCGTGATGCACGACTTTTTATTCAACGAACACTTCCACCAAGGCATTGGCTTAATTTTCTCAACCAAAATGTGGTCAAGTTGGAAATACAGAAGCTCCCAGTATTCAAGTGTCATTTTTTGGTGAAAACCTTGTGTAACTATGATGTACAGTGCGAATTCATTTTTACCCAGAAAGTTTGCAGCCCCATTTCGAAGCACTTGGCAAAGCTATGCTAAGCTCTTAAAATCAAATATCTCAACTTGTTACGTTTTTCATATATAGGTTTAATGTTCTGTACTCAATAGTATTAGCAATAATGCCCCACTTATTTTTAGTCTGCCATGCTGTCTTATGATTTTACATAGGGATATTTTTGATTGAGTATGAATGACTAGTGAAAGAACAAATAAAGGTTTGAAGTTCATTATTTTACAGTCCCTTCATTTACAAAATTTCATGTGTTGGATTTTGAAGAAAAAATGAATTTAACATGGCTAAGAATATTTAAAATGACAAGTTCACTCTTTTGAGTTTTTAAATAATCCGGTCAAAGGTGTTTTGATCAAATGAGAATTTGACGGAATTCATTCATTTGGATGAAAGCCAATTTAAACTAGGGAAAACTTGTTTGGCCAGGGTTAAATTCAGGCTAAACAACAGTTGGCACCCCCTATTGGAGGGGCGGTTGTTCCCCAGCATAGTTCTTTAAACTAGGATTTGCCGTTTGTATATCTGAAGTTGACGGCCCCTCCAATAAGGAACAGAAGTTGGTTGCTTTTTCTTTCTCATAATTAATTGAAGTCATAGGGATTCTATCCATTTATTCATTCGACTCAAACATCAATACAATTAGATTCGCTCTTTATAGATAAACTTGGAATTTGCGATACCAGGTAAGATGGAGAAGTGACCCACAACAAACAGAGGAGGATTTATTCAATCACATAGTTTGGCATTAAGATTTTCAAGGTTTGGCCAAGGTTTAGCTCAAGACCCCTTTTCTTAAATCCAACCAATCTTTTCGTAGGCGTTCGCGATTATGCTAGGTTTGGTTCAATCAATCCGTTCGTTGATTCGAGACTCAAGAATGGGGTTGTCATCTTGAGTGTCAACCTTAGATGTGCATACAGCAAAACTCATTTAAAAGATTGTTTGATGCCCATTTTCCTTAAAAAATGCATTTTGAAATAGTGTTACGATAGAGAATATGTGGTTAAAAAATAAAGAAATGTTTTGGGTTTGCGTATAATATTATTTTATTGAAAAATTTGTGGTTGAAATGGTATCAAATCATTGTTGAAGAATGTAGTTTGATGAAAAAACAAGGGTTAAATTATCTAATAAGGTACAATTGTCATTGCAGCCTTAGATGCTCCAATAGTCGTATTTGCTTAGTTCTTGTTTGACTTTTATCTTTTAAATTCATTTTGTTCAAACTCATTTTTAATTATTCAATTTTTCTCTCTTTAAATAATTAATGCTGAATTAGCTAAATCTGATTTAAGTTGATAATGTTTCGATGAAAATTATGAAATTTCAGTTTTTCAATATCTCTTGATACAATTTCTGAAGGAATGGACATGATTTCTATTTATGAGTCGATCATATCTTTTTGATTGAAGGATTCTAGTTTCAATTTAACAATGCGTATGCAGCTATGGCCTTTTTTCTGAATGGATCTGCTAACTGAGGGTTGTGTTTTCTGGTTTTTTGTAACTTTTTTTGTGTCAAATTACTGAATTATGCTCTTATTTTGAAACTACTGAATTGATTGATGCTAGAGTGCGATCAATTTGACATGTAAACAATGGTTATTCTGAATACTTGACCAATAAACGTTCATTTTTTATATTTGATCCACATATCGGTGCCAAAGCATCTTATTTTATCTGTTTGAACAGACTTTCGATGGAAATAGTACGAATTCATTCGATGACAGTTAATATTTTAGCCATTGTCACATTGCATTTCCTTCTATAAACAGAGGCTGGATAATTGGATAATTTAGAGCTTCTATTTCCATTTAAGAAACTGGGTTCTATTAATGAAAGTTGGAAACTTTACAGGCTTTAAAAAGGTGAAAAAAGTGAGGCATGTAGAGAAAAGAGACTTGAGAAAAAAAATGTGTCATTTAGTTCCCTTATTGGAGCTTTCCTTTTGTCTTAGACAAGTGGTTTTGCTATTAAGATTTAAGTTGGTTTCTTTGTTCGTAAAAAACTGGTTATGTTACACTCTCTTTTACAGTATTGATAGCTTTAATTGCTGTTCGATTGATTTTGTTGTGTTGTATTGGATTTTTTGCTTTTATGAAATATGAAGATGGATGGGAGAATCAGTGGGCCAAATCTGACTGGAAGAAAGATGAGAACATGGCCGGAGAATGGAACCTTACCACTGGTAAATGGAATGGGGACTCTACCGATGAAGGTAAACATGTCATTAGTTGATGAGTCTTAAGTACGTAGATATGTTTGCGCAATATATATGTATATGAATTTGTATGTACTGAATATATGACGTCAAAGGGGATTTACTTCTATGTCTTAGTGCAGGTATATAAACCACTGAAGACTACAGGTTTTATGCCATCTCAGCTGAGTTCCCTGAATTCAGCAACAAGGACAAGACATTAGTTTTCTGGTTCTCTATCTAGCATGAACAGAAGCTTGACTGTGGTGGTGGATACATGAAGTTGCTTGGTGGTGAAATTGATCAGAACAAATTTGGAGGTGACTGTAACACTCCGAATTTTAAAATTTTCCACGTGGGCTGGTAATTTAGCAAATAAAATAATCCATGTCCAACATTGTCGTCACACTAAAATCGAAAAGTTGAAGTGATAAACACGTCCCACTTATTTGCATAAATGGTTTATTTCGCAAACATATACTTTTAATTTATCGTAACTTATCTGAGTCAAATATTTAATGGGCAAGATCGGTTGAAAGAATTTTCAAGACCAGAAGAACATGAAAAAAGAGTTACTGTTGTTGAAGAGAAATCTGTAGTTGATTGTGATGCGGAGAAAGACGTTATCTTAGTCAAATATTTAAGCATTTTTGAAGTTGATAAAAATATATCAATATTATACTCGTTTCATAGCTCGTGTTAAATAATAAAAATTGAGCTTAAGAAAAAGTAATTTCGAGCTAGTATGCTCGAGTTATTTTAATAAAATGAAATATGTTATCTTTTAATATTTTATTAATATGTCATATGTGCAGATAATATAAAATGAATTTTTTCTAGAAATATGTGATTTATGATTGTAAAGGAAACGTGTATGTTTTATTAACTATGTTCACTTCAGTACGTATACATTGGAATTTGAAACGGTTTTATCATTTAATATATATATATATATATTAAACACAAATCACTCATTAAATTTACAGTGTAATTGATCCGTTTCCAGAATTCTAACCATCGGACGTGATAAGACGTGTCCATTAATAATATATTAATTTATTAACATCATCAGGTGTACATTTAACCACAGGCGTTTCGTTGGTTCATGTTACGTGTTAAATGACTTTTATGAGTGTCTATATATGTTCTCAGTGAGTGTTTTACTTTTAAAACAAGTTTACAACTTCATCTCTATACAAATTCTTGGATATCAAATTAAGGTAAGAATACATGGTGCAAGTGGTAAATTCTTATCCTTGATATTTATGTAAATTTGGCATGAAATACTAGAAGGCCTTCGGGTCGAATTATATGTTAAATTCTTCGGGATGGACCGTCAAGTTAAAAAAAAGAAGTTAAATTCTACGGGATATGGGGATTCTTAAGAATTCCTTGAACTCTAAATCTAAGAAATGTTGGTATGTTATACTATTTTTATATTTATATTATGTGAATAAGGATGTGCACGTATTCTTACTGAATGTTTTAAAAAATACTCACTCTTACAATATTTTCAGATTGAGAACGGGTCGTATGGACGCGTGGAAGATTGACCGAGCGATGCTTATGGGGTCGTCTAGCAAATTTTCTAGAAAAGGATAATTATCAAATTTATATAAAGAATATCTTTGTGTAAATTTTTATGCATGATATTTATTGTGTTATTTAATAATTTGAAATCAAGTATTTTTGATATAGTTCCGCTTAAATTAGATAGAGAAAAGATTTGGTAGCACCTCGAGCTCATTTTTATTTAAAAATAACAATAATAAGGAAAAAGAGTTCGGGGCGTTACAGTGACACTCCATTACAGGTAACATCATATGCTATTGCCATCTGACTTGTTTCCTATTTTGGTATATTCTCCCTGTTGAAGTTGCTGATTTGGTTGTACTATGTGGGCATATGTAGCATCATGTTTGGACCTCATATTTGTGGCTACTGCACAAAGAAAGTCCATGCTATTCTCACCTTCAATGGGACAAACCACTTGATCAAGAGGGGAGCCCCATGTGAGACAGATCGACTGACTCATGTCTGTATATTTGTCCTCTGGCCTGATGCTTCTTACAGCATCCTCGTTGACAGTGTGGAGAAGCAGTCGGGTAGCTTATACTCTGGGATATTCTCCCACCAAAGAAGATCAAGGATCCAGAGGCCAAGAAGGTATTTCATTTGTGCAATCATACATGAAAATTTGGTTCTTCCATTGGTTCAATGAAACTGATCTTGCTGCATGTTGGTGACAGCCCAAAGATTGGGATGACAAGGAGTACATTCCTGAACCTGAAGAAGCCTAAGGTAACCAAACTTCAAAGTTTCATGGTCTTCCTTCTGTTTAACGTTAGAGCACATGTTTATGACTTGTGAGTTGATAATAATGCCCTTGAACTATTATGCCTGCAGGATTATGATGACATCCCAAAGGAGTTGCCAGATCCTGATGCCAAGAAGGCATATAATCTAATTTTCCTGATTCACTACATATCTATGTAATCTCCTACACTATTTACTTTACTCAATTATGATGGTTTACAATTGCAGCTGAGGACTGGGATGATGAGGAAGATGGTGAATGGACACCACCAACAATTGCCAACCCCGAATACAAGGATCCATGGAAGCCGAAGGTCATTTTTGAGTCTCTATTAGTGTTGTAAATGTTGCTTTTGCTAATTCGAGTGGTTATAAAATTGTCTATTTTTATTGCCCAGAAAATTAAGAACCCCAACTACAAGGGCAAATGGAAGGCTCCAAAAATTGATAATCCAGTACTGTTTGTAACATCTCTGAACTTAAGTGCATCTTCATAATGCACGAATTTTAACTTTTTCTAATATGTTATTATTTGTGATTATAGACTTCAAAGATGATCCAGATCTCTATGTTTTCCCAATTTTGAAGTGTGTGGGCATTGAGTTGTGGCAGGTAAGACAGAATTTCTGTCAGTTCTGTGTTATAATCAAAATTTAAACTGAGCGAGTGAATTTTTAGATGAAATCTGGAACCCTTTTTGACAATATCTTGTTATCCGATGATGCGGAGTATGCCAAGAAGGTAGCTGAAGAGACATGGGCAAACACAAAGACGTATGTTGCCTTTATACTTAAAAGAAGCCATAAAGACGTATGTTGCCTTTATACTTAAAAGAAGCCATAAAGACGTATGTTGCCTTTATACTTAAAAGAAGCCATAAAGACGTATGTTGCCTTTATACTTAAAAGAAGCCATAAAGACGTATGTTGCCTTTATACTTAAAAGAAGCCATAAAGACGTATGTTGCCTTTATACTTAAAAGAAGCC